CCCCAAAACCCCAAAACCCCAAAACCCCAAAACCCCAAAACCCCAGACTTGAGGAAGTTAACTGAAAATAAAATTATTATGGAGGCAGCCTCTCAAGTAACTCATCATATCACAGTAGCTGGGATTCTGAATGATCCAAATTTCCAGAGGGCTCATGCCTGTGCTGTCTTTCTTGAGCAGAACCATCCCGCAGAAGTTAAGGCAACGATCCATCAGTTTTTCGAGACGCAGTGGGAGGAATTTTTATCAGAAATAAAAGCAACTAAAACAGGAAAGTTTCATTACCACCAAGGGACCTTTATTGCATACGTGAATGAAGACGAGTACTTGGGTGACAATGAAGAATTATCTAACTGGGCACTTCTAAACTACAAGTATTCTGACCATTCAGATGAAATTGTGTATAAGAAAAAGGCATTGCAAGAGTTTAAAACAACCATCAATGATTCCATTGGTAGATCTTACTGCTTCATGGACATTAGAATTGGAGAAGAGATTCCACAAAGAATTCTCTTTGAACTATTCACTGATATAGCTCCTGATAGCTGTGAGAATTTCAGAAAGCTCTGAGGAGGGACTTTCACAAATCAAAAAGGAGAGAAACTGACCTATAAAAACACTGAATTTCACAGAGTTGTGAAAGGCTCTTTTGTCCAAGGTGGCAATCTATCCAAACTCGGAATCTCACCGTTAGCCCAAAGTATCTTTGAAGGGTACTTTCCTGACGAAACTTTTGAAATAAATCATACACAAGTTGGTTTATTAGGCTACTGTAAAAAAAGTGGTATCAAATACTCTAACGAGTGTCAATTTTATGTAACCACAGGATATCCTCTCAGCTTCATGGATCACAAATATGTAATCTTTGGAAGAGTTATCCAAGGTATGAGAGTCTTTAGAAAAATAGAGGACCTTGAAACCCTTAACCAAAGACCTACTTGTAAAGTAGAAATAGCTGAATGTGGAGAGTTTGATGCCAGAAGATAAAAGTATCGCTTAATTTTAGGATTCAATAGAGCATGAAATTGAGGGGTTTTGGGGTTTTGGGGTTTTGGGGTTTTGGGG